AGGACCCGCCAGACCAAGCTGGTGGGATAGGTGGATTGGGACGGGCAATGGGAAGGGCCCAAAACTTCATGAGTTGCATAGTGTGGTGGAGGCTCCCTTGAGGGCCAGATGGCTCTAATAAGGCTGGTGGAGTGGGAGAGCTCTGTTTTGCCAGCCCTGTGACCCTGTTGCGCCTCAGGATTCCCGTGGCTGTTCTCATCCTAGATGTGGTTATTCTCCCTATTCCTCCGGTGTGCCCTCCAACCCCTCCTCCCCTCTCCTTTTGGTCGCAGTTTTCGTTTCGCATGTTTCGCTCCTCGTATTTGTTTTACTCCGTGCTCTCCCATATGATCCTTCTCTTCCTTTCCCTCTCTCTCCCTCTGTCCCTCTGCCCAACCTCCTAATCCTTTTCGCTCCTCCCCTGTACCTTTCTTGTGGATAGTCCTTCCTCTCCGGCTCCTCCTCTGTTTCTTTTTGCAGCGTTCCTTTTCCTATTTTATTTTATCGTATTTCTCCCACTCCGCATTCTCCATGTATTTTTGCTCATTGATCCTCCTCATCTTCCATCTCCCCTCCTCCTGCTCCTCTTCCTACACCTCCTACTCTTCGTTCTCCCGCACCCTTGTCGTCTTCTTCGCAGTTGCTCGCCTCCTGCGGATATTATCTCGCTCTCCTCCCTTCGATCGTCTTCTTATTATCTCCTTTCTCGCACTCTTCCTACACCGCACTCCCCTATGTCTTCGAGATCATCCTTCCCACTCCAAGTCACTATTCAACCCTCTTCCACCTCCTTCGATTCGTCGTTCTCCTGCATCTTCTTCTTCTTCTCAATTATCGTGCTCCTGCTTCTCCGCACTCCCCCCATCTCTTCTTGCTAATTCCTCCCAGCCAGTCCCCCTCGCGGCCGCCAGGATTTGTCTCCAGAGGCCGCGCCCCCCGGCGAATAATTTTCCGGGTGAGCGCCTGTGAAGTTGCTGGGCACGACCCCGCTTCCTGTGTGGCATGGTGAGACGCCGTGCGCCCCCTGCATCCCAGACGGCGCCACAAAGGTCGACCCGCTGGGAGCTTCGCGGGACACTGCCTCCTCTTCCTCCAAACAGCAGCACGCGCCGACCGGCACCACGCGCCATCCGGCACGAACAGGCACACACACGCGCGTTGCTTGTGCTCGCGGCCCGCCCGCCTGCGCACGTTCCGTCTGCGCTTGTCGGTGGGAGTCGCGGGAGGACTGAGCAAAATCAACCATCGTCCCCACATCTTGGGCGTTCTTGTTCTGAAGACGTCCTATGATCCTCCTCTTCTTCCTCCTCCGCCTCCTCCTCCTCCTCCTCGTCATCATCATCATACGTGTCGCATTATCTGTCTCTGCCCAGGAAGGCCCCGCCAGACCGCGGCAGGTATCCGAATATCGTTCCATCTGCGTATGTAAAATCATCAAATACCGCCCCCCCCCGCCCCGCACCTCCAAAACACTGGGCCCCTGTTTATGAATATCCTTTCCAGCGGGCGCGGAAGCCTGCTGGTTTTCGGGCTGGGCTCGTGGCGCGCTCTTCAGCCTTCACAGCATTGGAGCCAGACGCCAAGACATCTATACTTACCATAACCCTAAGATTTCCAGACATGATCGCGTCGTCGAAACATCAGGACGGCAAGGTTTTCCCTATTTTCGGCCCCTGGGGGCCCTCGCAGGCCCCCAGGAGCGCCCAAAAACAAAAAACGGCCCTGGGGACGCGGTTCCACTGCTTTTGTTGTGCGTGGGATCGTGGCCGCGGGAGTGAAACCAGATTGCCTCTTTCTCACCCGAGGGGTCGTCGCTTCTGGAGCTCGGATCGATCTTGTTCGCCGCCCGTTGCGTCACGGGGGGCGATGAATGGGGGGGGAGATGAAGAACGGTGCAGCCTTTGTACCCTGCAGGGGGCCGCGAGGGCCCCCCGCGGGGCCCCCGCGGGGGGCACGCGAGGTTCCCGCTTCTTCGCACCACCCCGTTTGTCGCTCAGGCGGCCTGTCCTTCTGCAGGGGGAATATCCAAAAACAGCCCAAAATAGTCTGGGGACGATTCGTGGAATTTCTTTGGAGTATTTGCTTGGAGACCGCCCCCTGCTCCAGTCCATGGCGTACCTTGTCTTGTGCAAGTTCTTCGGCACCGCCTGTTTTCTGAGCCCTCCGGCCGCCTGAAGCTCCGCCCGCCCGCGCCTTGTCTCCCCAATTGGGGCTACCCGCGTCCCGTTTAGCTCTTGACCGGAAGGGGCCCGCTCCCGACCCGCAGACCAAACAAAAAAAACAAGTTTTACGTTTCGCCCAAAGATCCCCGTGTAGGAGGACACGCCCGACCTAAATGTGTCGCCCCCCGCGAAGCGGCGCCGAGGTGTGCCGAGGAAGGGAAGGCAGGGAGGGCCGTGCCCCTGAGCGCGTCGAGGAGGCGGCGCGCAGCTGGATGCCCCCCAGAGTTGATGGGTTCTACTTAGGAAGGCCACAGGAACCTTTCCTCCTCCTCCTCCTCCTCCCCCTCCTCCTCCTCCCTCCTCCACCTCCTCCTCCTCCTCCTCCTCCTCCTCCTCCTCCTCCTCCTCCTCCTCCCCCTCATCCTTATCCTCCTCCTCCTCTTCCTCCTCCTCCCCCCCCTACTCCAGTAACAAAACTGCCAAGCACCAAACGTTCAAGCGCGACCCCTCGGGTCTGGGGGCACGGCAGCGGATGTCATGTCATGTGTCCATGTGTGCGAGGGGCCGATCCCGACACGATACGCAGGTATTGGGGATTTGATGGTCTTCGACAGCTTGGGGCCGTGGAAGCTCATCTTCGAAGAATCCCCTGGCCTCTCCCCATCCCAGGCGAGTTGGACGAATAGGAGGATGATAATGATAAGGAGGCGGCGGACAGATGATTATGACGAGGAGGCAGTAAGGTGACGGAAGGGAGAAGGCGGAAGGACGAATAATGGGAAGAGGAGACTCATGACGATGCACGGTTGCGACATATTGATGGGGAGCGCACGGAGGCCGAGTAAGGTGATGACGACGATGATGATGTTGTTGATGATGATGATGACGGTGATGGTGATGATGGTGACGATGGTGATGGTGATGAGGAGGATGAGGAAGAGGATAATCATGATGTTGAGGATGAGTACGAGGATGATGATGATGATGATGATGATGATGATGGTGGTGATGATGATAATGGTGATGACGATGATGGTGATACTGGTGATGTTCATGATGATGCTGATGATGTTGATGAGTATGGTGATGGTGCTTACTATGGTGGTTACGATGGTGACGATGATGCTGATGAGAAGGATGATGCGGATGACGATGACGATGGCAATGAAGTTACAGATGATGATGCCGACCATGATGCTGGTGATGATGATGTTGACGACGACGACGATGATGATGATGATAATCATGATGCTGAATATGATGATGGTGGTACTGCTACTGGTGATGATGGTGGTGGTGCTGCGTGTGATGCTGATGGTGATGATGGCGATGCGGCTGATGATGATGTTGTTGTTGATGACGATGTTGGTGTTGATGCTGCTGATGATGAGGATGGTGATGATGCTGCTGAGGCTGACGCTGCTGATTATGATGATGATGATGACGATGACGATGAACATGACAATTATGATGATGCTGATGATGTTGATGCTGATGCTGATACCGATGACGATCATGATGGTGATGATGACGATGACGATGGTGACGATGATGATGATGATGCTGATACTGATGTTGGTGATGATGGTGCTGCTGCTGATGAAGCTGATGCTGATGCTTATGCTGCTGATCTTGCTGATGGTGATGCTGATGGTGATGATGTTGTTGCTGACGATGGTACCGATCATGACGGTGATGATGAGTGTGATGATGATGTTGGTGATGATGATTGATGATGGTGATGATGATGATGATGATGATGATGATGGTGGTGATGTTAATGTTGTTGCTGCTACTGATGCGGATGCCGATGATCATGATGACGATGCCGACGCTGAGGAGGGGGTGGGAGGACGGGGTTGAAGAGGGGATGCGGACGAGGAGGATATGTCTCTCGTCCCTCTGCCCTGCCCCATGGCATCTCGCCGCCTCGATCCTCCCGCGCCCTCCCTTCCTGGGAGGAGCGGACGGAGGGAGAAGAGAAGGAGGGAGATACAGGGATGACGAGGATGAGGACGAGGAGGGACAAGAGGAGGGACGCGATGATGATGGTGATGATGATGATGGTGCAGCTGATGATGATGCTGCTGACGATGGTGATGGTGATGGTGATGATGATGATGATGGCGATGGTAGTGGTGCTTGTGCGGCTGCTGCTGCTGATGATGATGGTTGTGGTTGTGATGGTGGCGGTGATGCTGCTCCTGCTGATGTTGCTGCTGATGATGGTGATGATGTTGTTGTTGTCGTTGTTGGTGCTGCTTCGGCTGCTGCTGGCGGTGATGATGCTGATGATGGTGATGATGATGAGGACGACGGTGATGATGGTGATGATGATGCTGATGGTGCAGCTGATTATGATGATAATGATGACGATGATGATGGTGATGATGGTGATGATTGCGATTGGAATGGTGCTTGTGCGGCTGTTGCTGCTGATGGTGATGGCGGTGGTTGTGATGATGATGGTGACGCTGCTCTTGTTGATGCTGCTGTTGTTGATGATGATGATGATGATGATGATGATGATGATGATGGTGGTGATGATGATGTTGGTGTTGTCATTGTTGGTGCTTCTTCGGCTGCTGCTGGCGGTGATGATGACGAGGACGACGCCGATAACGGTGATTATGGCGATGCTGATGATACTGATAATGACGATGACGATGAGGATGACAATGACGACGACGACGATGTTGATAATGGTGATGATACTGCTGCTGTTGATGGTGGTGGTGATGATGATAGTGATGATGATGATGAGAATGATGATGAGTGGTGATGATGCTGATGATAATGGCGATGAGGACACCACTGCACACTACAGTGAAATTGACGATGTTTATGATGCTGGTGATG